GTTTTAAAACTTTTAAATATATAGATGTTTGAAATGTTATGTTTAAACCATACCTACGGCGACAATTAAGGGGTTCCAGAATTGTTCTGAGCAACTGCAACTCCATGGTGTCTGCTGGGAAGAGGCAATCCTCGTGAAGGTATAGTTTCTGGTGTATGTCCATATGTGTGGGTGTGCGGGGTGTGGGTGTGTGTGGGGGGAGGCAGTATTTAAATCAGCTTCTCCTAGAAGTTTTTGTTCTATTCCCCACTGATTTTTTGCGTATGGCCATGGGATTTGGGGATTCTAAGAATGCTGCAGTCAGTGTTTGCACTTCGAATTCATGTGCACAAAGAAGAAAAAAACAAGGCTTACGGGCATGGCACTCTCCCTGGGTCTCTTTGTTAACATTTTGGCAGCGCTCTTTAAATGATGCCTTTTCTCTCAGTTCCCTGGATGTTTTCTGAAGCCTGCACAATGACTAGAAGGCTCTGTCGCTACAAAGGAATACCTGATTCAGAAGAGTAAACATCGTAACAGCAACCTATTCATCAGCTGCCAGACCCAAACCAACCAAAGGTGGTGACTTTTGAAGACTCCAGCTTGGGCCTTACAGCCCCTGGCGGTGAGCGAGGGTTGGTGAGCGAGGGTTAAGGAAAGGTGAGCGGAGCTCAGCGAGGTACAGGGAGACTGATGATCCCTCACGCCTCCTGGCAGAAGCTCCCCATCCTTGCAAGTGTGGAGGGCCAGCAGGGAAAGCACCCCAGGCCACAGCAGCTGCCCTGGAACCTCTGAGTCAAAAGGGACCTGTGATGAAGGGACAGGAGGATCCCAACATTCCTGGGGGCCGAGGCAGGGAGAGCTCCTGGTGATGCCAGGATACTGTCTTCTTCCCAAATCCCACTCAAGACAAGAGCATGATTTGCATAATAAAATATCGAATGCCTTCATAACCCAATGTTACCAGTCAGACTTGAATACCCTTAAAAACTGCCTTCCGCCCTGACCGGTTTGACTCAGTGGATAGAGCGTTGGCCTGCGAACTGAAAGGTCCCCGGGTCGCTTCCG